GTATTTTAGGTAAACTTTTTTACATTTTCATCTAACTTAAGATTCTGAGAAGATGGGCCCACCAATATGTTCTGATTTAAGTGGATTCTTGATTTATCAGTGACATCTTCTGTGTTAACAATGTTTTTAGAAACAGTACTATTTCTTTAAAAAGGAGAGTATTATTACATATTATTAATCAATAAGAGGATATTAAGAAGTAAAAATCTTACTTTTGATACATTCTGATGTTATTTGCTGTTTCTATAAATCCTGTTGTTTTATATAACACATCCTTAATTAATTCATTTGATGCACCTTTCGGCAATGGTACTGTAGAAATTATCTGTTCCTGTGTTTTACTATCGAAATTTTTAGACATAAATATAAGAGTTCTTAATATTTGTTCATATGCAGCTATACCATCCTCAGGATGATACATATTTAGTAACTGATTCATAGGATTAATAACATCTGTATTTTTTAAATTGTGTTGTCGAATGGTCTTCGATAATGAACAATTTTCATATATAGAAACATTTGTTATAGTATCCTTATTTTCCATAGCAACTAAAATAGAAAGTCACCTGAAATTAATGTTTGTTTATGTACCTATTCTTGAAATTGTATTAAATATTATTTTTGAATGTGGTACAATATTCAATAATAAACAAAATTAATATTTACCATTATTTATGCAGGTAAGTAATAATATATTAATATAATATGGATAATTATTTATAACAACATATTTAAAATTCAATGCTACTTACTATCGACGGCCTTCTTTATTTTCATTTTCATATAGATCCTATTTTTAAAGCTATGACAGCTTCATCTACAAACGCGGACGTAAATTCGTCAATACAATTAATTGGTAATTGCTAAATAATGAAAACAGCTGCTATAATGTATTATTGTCGACAAGCGAATAACGTGTTTCTCGCAAGTTCGTTTGCAAGTCGATTAAAATCGGATTACAATAAATTGGATTATGAAATTGTTCCGTTTATAACAGATGCAAAATAATAATGAAACAAATTAAAGGACTAACAACGAAATTAAAATAGAAATAAATAAAATAAATAAATTTAATTAAAGAAACCAGAAATAATTTTCTATTATTTCAATCATTACTGTTTCCAATTATTAATATGCTTTTTTACAATGAAGAATTCAATTTAAAAGTCTTAATTAGGAGTTTGTAATATGTATTAACATACAACAATATGAATAAGAAGGAAATTGCTTTCCTAAGCTGTACAGGGAAAGCATACTGTCTAATTATTAAAACATAAGTGCACCTTCTGTATATGATGGATTATTCAAATGAGAGTATTAGTCCCATGCCAATAATCCTAGAAGCTTTGCAAGTATTACTCTCCGATCACTGCTATAAAAGCAGAAGCAGAACCGAGACCAGCAATTTGGTGCACAATGTTTCTAGTGAAAAGTTTTTCGTTATTTTCTTGTTTAATAGTTTTAACAGCTGGTGCAGCTGTTAAAACTCCTGCTGGAGCACCATGGGCAAAATATGCTTCAAAACCTGGTAATATAAAACTTCAATATATTTTCAACCATTTATCATTGTTTTAAATTTGTTATAATTATGTCAAGATCTTAGGTATATCACTTATTTTTAGTTTACTCAAGAGCTCTTGGGCCACCGCCATCAACTATGGATACCATAACAGTGCCATTCATGCCAAAATCACCGTTTTTCCCAAAATTCGTTGATCCCAAAATGATGATTTCTAAAAAGACTGATCTATTAAGCAACTTATTTGGAGGTTTGGGACCTGTATATCCTATGGGACCTGCATACCCTTTCAAACCATTCATGCCATATACAGACACTGTGCCAACTTTGTATAGTATAGGCAGTGAAGAATCACTGAGCAGTCTGGATAAAAGTAAAATGGAAGATGCTAATGTTCCATATAAACGGGGAATATTCGGACCTTTTATTCCTCCTAAACCATTTGGGCCAATGGGTCCTAAGTTTGGCTCGATGAGTCCTATGTCTCAATACTCAGATTTAAATACAATACCCAATTACGGCATAAAAGATAACTTTTCTCGCAAAAGAAGAAGTGTAGATGAACCTTCTTTAACAAAACTTCGATCGATCATGGACGTGGGCAAACCAGCAACAAAAAACTTAGGACCTCCGCCTCCATATCCTACTCTTGCTCCAATTTCTGAAGAATCGGAAGATGACATCAATTTGCTGCTTCAGAAAATAGGAAGTGCTACAGCACCAAAAGAATATTTGCCTGGAATGTTTGGACCTTTCAGTCCATTTGCACCAATGATGGATCCATCTATGTACATGGCAAAAAAATCTACTTTCTTGGACACTTTGTTTAAGAATCTTGCTACCAGTACTCCAGCACCAGAAGTAGCAACAGAGGTACCCACAGCAAAAAGTACTATTGTACCACCTTCTTTTTGGTATCCATCATCAATAATACCTAGTCCAACTGAATATAACAGCAAAGTAGAAGACTTTTTGAACAAACTATTTGATAGTCTAAAGCTTAATAAGACTGCAGCAGCAAGCGACAGTGATACTACAAGCATGAAAAGTGAGTTCTTGAGATCTGTCAAACTTGATGAAGATGATGCACAAGTGAAAGTTGCAAGATCTATCGAGGATCTATCATCCATCAATGCAGCTAAAGATGCCATTGTTGACAGTATAATGTCCGAGCTGGGTGATTTGAAGACTAATATGGTAACTACAATGAATGACTTAGTTGCATATCAAAAATCCACATCAACGACTGCAGGAAAAAAGCCTTTTAAACCATTTACACCAGGTATGTGGCCAGGTATGAAACCACCTATTGATGGAACACTTCCATTTCAACAAAAAATGGCAGTCCTGAGTCAAGTTTTTGACATGTTATCAGATTTACAAAAAAATATTACTTTAGCTGTTCAAAATGTGGTTAATTCAAAAATGGGTTCTAGTGGAATTTCTAATTCAGCTTTAGTTAATAATGCTATGCCTACTATGCCTATGAATTTGGGTCTTCTAGATGCTCTTAAAAGTAAATTGAGCACATTTGACTATCAAGTACCTACTACTTATGCTGCAGCATCTGATAAATTTGGTATAAACATGGTCCGTTCATTGCAAAAAACTCCAGGATCATTTTGGGTAACTTATCCTGAAGAAAAAAGAGAAGTTGATAGTAATGCAAAGCCAGTAATTGATGAAGATAGTAGTGCCATTCATAAAGAAACCCGTGGAGTTAAAATGCAAATGCACCAAGGATATCAGAGTTTACCAGCAGGTTCTGTAGAGACTGTACAGGCTGGAGGAGGATCTACGCCTGATCACCAAGGTGGAGGAATTAAACTATTTGTAAGTTTTTAAATATAAATAAGTATAAATTAGAAAAATATTGTCATAATAGTTCATTCATGACTTAAATTACTTGAGGATCAACATAAGATGTAATATTTAATATAAGTTGTACTTCATTGTACTATGAATCTAGAAGAATTGAACAAAATGAGAAACTTTATGCAACATGACAGCATCATTTGTTTCCAGATACAAATGCCTGTATTGCCTAATATGCAAGTGCCAAGTTATCAAAATAATAATTATGAAAACTAGGTACGTGTAATTTACAGACATTGAATACCAGGAACATGTTCATTTGTCACAGGATACCAGTGACTACGAGGACCTCAACAATTGGCCCAACTGGATGGAATATATGAAGAACTATCAAGGACATAGGCACCATAATCATCACTAGACGTTATCGTTCCAGCAGGAATGCATCAATTACTTGTAATTACCAACTTTTATCTTAAAATTGGTCACATTCATATAAAATACATAACGTGTACGCTTGATAATTTTCGTCAATAAAGTATGATTTGCAAAACATATCAACTAAACACGCCCGTATTAATGAAAGGCACTACTACTTGCAAATCTTCCTAGCTTATAACTCACAAGAGGAGATGTACCTGGAAGATATACAATGTCTTTTATTCAATTATCAATTAGACTTATAATACATATTATATACAATGCCAGGTGTAAGTAATGAGAAAGAAATTTATAAAATTAACTATCGCGCGCGCGCGCGAGACGCATATAACAGTAACGAACTTAAAATGGTAAAATAATACATACATCAGACAAGCAGACACCAGCGCACATGGACGCAATCCTGCATCAAGTGCGTTGCTTTGTTTCTTTGCAATTAGCAATGCATTGCACGCAGGGTAGCGTTAGTGTGTTAGGAAGCACCAGTATTTATTACATGAATTGGTCTTTGAAGAAACAAAGGAAGATTATTTCATTTTTCTGAGATTAAAATTTCAGCTTAATTTTAATATTGGATACGTTTATAATTGTCTTTTATATAAAGTTATATAAAATTTTGTAAAATTTGGCAGTGTTGGTAAGTATTAACATTGGATGTCTAATGCTTTTTTTATGAAATAAAAGTTTCTCTTTCTAAAGTTAAGAGTAAAGAGCCACTGCGTGTGTTCTAATATTAAAGTTACTTTTTTCCTCAAAATTTGGTATTTTACTAGCGATTGTATTGTACATCATCTGCCTTTTGTCACTCTGGATATAAGATGTTCCATTTGTTGATCGATTCTGAACACCATATAAAAGGATGCCAGTACACTGCTTAATGTTACTAACAGTCCTAAGCCCTCGAATATTAACTTTGGTGCGAAGATCTTCCAAGCCATTAAATGCCGGCAATGAATCGTTGCGGCAAGCATGCTGCCAAATGTCTACAATATATATTAAGTTACAAAAACGTGTTAACTAAAACTAGCTATAAATCTTAATTTTCTATTTACTACTTTGTAATTCTCTAAATGCTAAATGCAATAAGAACTTACTCGAATTCCATGAAGCAGTGCATATTTTCCTGCAACTGAGAAAATTGCTGTATGGAATACTGAGTCTTGTTCGAAAAGAAGCAATTCTCCTCTTTTTAAATCATCTTCCGAAAATTTTGCTTTCACCAATTTTGGAAATACCAGATACAATGTAAATGGTACAATCACTAATAATGGTAATGTTGCACCTAATATAATATGCGATCCAAATGTGTTTATTCCTGCAAGTTTAATATTATTTGGTAGTCTTAAAATAATTCGAGTAACAAAACAAATATACATACCAATTAAAATTGCTGGTAATAAACTACCATAGAAATGTCCACCAGTTCCAACAAAAGCAGCATCCCAATGAATAGTTGGAAAAGTTGGCTGATGTCCAGTTCCATAAAAGAAATAGTCAGCTATCAAAAACCAACATACTAGGGTAGAAGTGGGTACTTCAACCAGTTCAGCTGTTATTGAAACAATAATCTTAAATATCTAAATAATAATGTAAATCATTTTTCACGCTGTTTATATATTTCAAGTATACTTACATATAGAAGTAGCATTTTTGTATCTTTCTATTGCGGATAAGCCCAAAACAGAGCCACAGGATATGAACATCAAAAATGTACTAGGCGATAGCATATCTCCTAACAATAAAGAATATAATAGCATAAGAAATACGCTCAGTGAAATAAATGCAGCACTGTAGGCAGTGCCTAAGCCATAAACAACTGGTGTTTCATCTGCATCTATCCTCTTACGGTATATTGATTCCTTTATCTTCTCAAATAATCGAGGTACTATATTCTCATCACTGTATAGATTGATCGATTCTTTCTTCTTTGGTAATAAAAATATACTGAGAGGACGATAGTACAGAATAGAGATTGCAACTAAACTCAATGCGTACACTATATTAGGCAGTGTACTTACTTGCCAAGATAATACAAACTTTACTTTGATAAATTTTGGTAATCTTTGAAGGACCCAATAACAACCCATGCAAACACCAATTACAACAGGACAATATTGGCCTACTAAAACACTGGGAGAGAAACCAGTAAGATTTCCACAATTCTGTAACCACAGCCTTACTATTGTGACATACAATGCAAGTACAATCAAGGTAACAGCTAGTAACACGCGTTCTAAACCGTTGGATGTTATGGAATTTGATTTACCAGTTATAAAAAGTGAACACATACGTTGTTGCTGCTCCTCCCGACAACGCCAGAAATAGTGGGAAAGTCTTATAGAAATGCATGCTAGTAAACCAACGACTATTATTACAATCTTTAAATTTGACTTTGATTGTGATTTTATGAACGGCTTTGGTTTCCGTTCGGTACATTCATTGGAACTTTCCTTCTTTAAATTAAATGTAAGTAGACAGACAAGTGTAATGAGTAAAAAGGACAATACATTATCCTCTTCTATAATATAACTGTTAGAAAAAAGACAACACACTGTTATAATAAGGATCACTCTAGTAACATAAACCAATTTTTTAATCTTGCAATAATCATACCAACTCATTGAAATCACATCCCAATTCTTAGCAATTAATACGATTAATAGTGCTATAGATACTACACCAGTAGCACAAAATGCAGAATTCTTAAATTCACTTAGAATGTCAAAAAAGTATAAGAAAAAGATTATCAGTGCAGTAATTAAGTTTACTAAAATAGAACATTGTAAATACGATGTTTGAAATATTTGAGACATTCGACTTTCTGGGATACCTGTGATAAACAGGTAAAAGAAGAATAAGGTACAAAACATTAGAAGTAGGCCCTTCAACATTAGACTAGAATCAAATTGAACCCAAACTTCAGAGCAAGTATCTTTGAGTAACTTGAAGTAACTTTTGCTGTTTTGAATAAATAATTCAAATTCCTCTATGGTATTTACATGTTTCATCTGTTCTAATAAATGATTATACATGATTTCTAAATTTTGTAATTGTTCTTCAGAAAACGAATAACTGTCTGCAGAATATACATCTATGTACTTTTTGGTTTGTGCAACGTTTCTCCACATTGAATGCAATGAGTACCACATGTCATCTTGCAAGTTCCCTTTTCTTGTAGAACTTGGTAGCGAATCAAGTACTACGGATCCTAGGTTGGAGAAAGGTATAGGTGTCCCAAGAATCGATGCCAATGTAGAGACAAGATCAATTTGATTCACAGTACTTTGNAAGTGTAATGAGTAAAAAGGACAATACATTATCCTCTTCTATAATATAACTGTTAGAAAAAAGACAACACACTGTTATAATAAGGATCACTCTAGTAACATAAACCAATTTTTTAATCTTGCAATAATCATACCAACTCATTGAAATCACATCCCAATTCTTAGCAATTAATACGATTAATAGTGCTATAGATACTACACCAGTAGCACAAAATGCAGAATTCTTAAATTCACTTAGAATGTCAAAAAAGTATAAGAAAAAGATTATCAGTGCAGTAATTAAGTTTACTAAAATAGAACATTGTAAATACGATGTTTGAAATATTTGAGACATTCGACTTTCTGGGATACCTGTGATAAACAGGTAAAAGAAGAATAAGGTACAAAACATTAGAAGTAGGCCCTTCAACATTAGACTAGAATCAAATTGAACCCAAACTTCAGAGCAAGTATCTTTGAGTAACTTGAAGTAACTTTTGCTGTTTTGAATAAATAATTCAAATTCCTCTATGGTATTTACATGTTTCATCTGTTCTAATAAATGATTATACATGATTTCTAAATTTTGTAATTGTTCTTCAGAAAACGAATAACTGTCTGCAGAATATACATCTATGTACTTTTTGGTTTGTGCAACGTTTCTCCACATTGAATGCAATGAGTACCACATGTCATCTTGCAAGTTCCCTTTTCTTGTAGAACTTGGTAGCGAATCAAGTACTACGGATCCTAGGTTGGAGAAAGGTATAGGTGTCCCAAGAATCGATGCCAATGTAGAGACAAGATCAATTTGATTCACAGTACTTTGAACTGAATTATATTCTTGTAGAGGAACCAAAGAATAAACGAACATGGCAGCTTCAATTTCACTCAAACTCTCACCGCCGTGATCCCCAGTCTCTGTCATTCCATGGTCACCAATAACAAAAAGTATTGTATCTTCTTCCAAAGATTCAACGATTTCTTTTATTAGAGTATTAGTATCATTTAATTTTCTGGCCATTTCAGGATGATTAGCACCATGCTTATGTCCACAATGATCAACTCCAAGAACATGTGCTACAAGTAGAGACCAATCTTTCTTCTTTAGTTCAAAGAATATACGGTACCTAACGTCTTTATCCACGCTGTCCAGATCCCAAATATTAAAGGATGGTGATGGAAATTGACGTTTGAATTTTCCAGGGAATAAATTCGTCCATGTATCATCTCCCATGAATATGATACCTCTATCAGCATTCTGATTAACAATGTTATCTTCGTCAATGCTTTCGGAAGCAAAGTTAGATCCAATATCGATAAATGTAGGCAGAGATCCAGTGGTAAGACCTTTTAATCGTTGCATGGTTGTTGTTGGGGGATCCGCTATGAATTTATATAAACGAGATTTGGTAGGTTCTGATTGTAACAATTTGTGTATTATCGGCAGTTTATTACGATAATATGTTGGGACAGAGCTATTGTCATTGTACCAATGTACAAAATCATACTTTAAAGCATCAACGATTAGCAACACAACGCGTGCTTTTCTTTCCAGGCAGGTAGCTGCTGCATCTTCAGGATTTTGAAGAAGATTTTCGATGTTACAGCCACCAGAATCGGTGCAATATTTACATTCGGCATGTTCCGGTCTGGAGACGCGATTAAGTAGGAAGCCGCTTGTGAAAACAAGTAAGCCAGCTGCCATTAAGTACGATATCCATCCTTGAAATATTAAATAATTCCATAGCTTGCTCATTTTTCTCGATGGTCTGTTATATTCTCACGTTATTCAAACAGAATGTAATATTAAAGGAAAATATCTTAACCTATCCTTTAATATAAATTTGTTTTTCACCACTGTCACATATTTACAGAAACGATTCAACTAATCACTTGAAAATAAGTTAGGAGTGTAGTTAGGAATACAAAACAATCGACTGAGTATTCATGTTTGTTATCAAAATTATGAGTGCAGGAATGCTAGAATGCAATTTTGTCACACAAATGGCGCTAAATTTGAAGCAAACGACAGTGTCGCTAGTGAGATGAAGTACGTACTTCGTTGTATTCGGGTGTCAATGTTGATTTACCATCATTCTGCAATGTCGGTAAAACAGTATCGTGCGTCCACAAATATATAATCTGATATAATCGATTAACATTTAATATCTTGAATGCATGCTCAGATTCACTTAAATTATGTATGACGTATGACATTGTGTGGTTATATTAGTTTCTATGAAATTGTTTAAAAATTTCACGTGATAGAAAATTTCGATACAATAGTGTCTCGGAGTTATGCTAACGAAGATTGAAGTCGTTGAAATTGAAAACGATTGTAGTTTATCCGATTTCTCGTATTATATAATTTCTAATGATTAAAGAAATGATAAACTTGATTCAATACCTCAGATATCTCAGCGCTTTCAGTATTTTGAAGTTAGCAAATCAGCTAGCAGGAAATGAAGACCCTAATTGTATTCTGGAGCACCTGTTTAAATGGAAATCTTTTGATAATGGCTTTGAGGAAGCTAAGCAAACCGAAAAACCAATATTCTTATTCGTTTATAAAATTGGATGCCCGGCATGTGAAGTATTGAAAGAAAAGTTCTCGAAATCTGTGCGCATAATGGATCTCAGCGATCGGTAAGTTTGATCAAGGTACAAAGTTTGTAAGTAATGAAGTACGACGCAGATATAATAATTGCCGTCGATAGATGCCGCTATGATGCCTCCTGTCACTCACTGCATTTAGATATTTCTAAGTACATATTCTAATAAACGTGTAAGCGTGAGATTGTATAAATTACATAAAAATGTCGTAAAGAACATACCACTTATTTTTTAACATATTCGTAGTACTATATATATATTAATATATATTATTAATAAATAAATATTAATATATATATTATTATATTATAATAAATATATATTATATATTATATATTATATATATTTATTATATATATTATATATATACATACAATAGAAGAGAGAATCAGAACAAGGATCTAAGAAGGATATACATAAATGAAATATGAATATACATATAGCATTAAGTTTATATTAGTTAAAACAATTCTTGAAACAAAAAATGTTACTTTTGCAGATTTGTAATGATAAAAGTAGACGCGAGAAAACACCCATCTATAAATTCGGGAAAGTTTCAGCCAGATGGAAAATACGTTCCCAGAATTTTGTTCTTCACCTCGGACGGCGAGTTTATCATGGAAGCGTTCAATAGAAGCAAGAATGCTAAAGAGCAGAAATTTTTTTACAGCAGTCCCTCTGATGTTACAGAAACTATGTTGTTCGTTTTGAATGAATATTCTAAAGAACCCAAGCCACTAATATTTGAATGGACAAAATCGAATTTAAAGTACTGACCGCGAAAGAGAAGTGAAGACACTCTCTTTTCAATTAAATTTTGCTATACGTTTCTTGCTATAGTTCTCGCGTATCTTTAATCGAGTCAATATTCTATTTCGACATGAAATCATCGAAGGAGCTACGAATAATTTTATTCGAAAGGACCAATTTAGTTTACGAAAATAATTTGTTTACGTCACAGCGATTCTTCCTAAGCTTCCTTCTGATCGAAATAAAGAACAATTTAATTTTGCAGTAAATCATTTTTCTGTACATCCGTACGAGTCCTTCCACCTGCATGCACGTCATCCGCATCTGTTGACAGACACGCGTGCATACGGATGTAGCATCGAAATGGTTAATATTCGTGGCCCCAATCAACGGTGTGCAGTTGGAACGACAAAACGATTGGACAGACTGTAGCAAGGTCTGTCAGCGAATGGGTTAATTTAGTAACCAATCTGGAGGCGAGCTCGGGGCAGGCGTAGCCGTTTGAACACCGTAGCCGTAGCCAGTGTTCGAGTCTGCGCCCATATATTAAACACCCGTGCACATCAACCTATCCGCAACCTGCACGGGCAACCCTGACGGCGCTTGCGTTTGCAACTGTTGCCACATCGGGCTACGCTCTCTTATTGGTCGACACTGTCTCACCTAGGGTTGCTAACCACGCCCGCTTCACCCTCTTCAAATATAACTGTTCCTACACGAGGGCGTATAGTAGAGCGAGGAGTCTCCATTCCTTTTCCCTCGAAGATGGAATTTCCACAATTGCAATGAAATTTCACCTTTAAACGGATGCTCTATCTTCTCCTGCCCATTATATTTCGCTAATTAACAAAATAACTGGGAAAATAGGAAAGGAAATTTCACTGATTTACGCGAGTCCAGAGCTTGACGGCAGAAGTATTCTTCGCATTTGTGAGAAACGAAACAGATTACAACTAAGTACAGTAATGTCTCCCTAACTGACGCTCAGATTGTGCACAAAAATGGTCAATTTGGGAAGTGAAGATACGATTATTCGAGTCTCGCAGTTAATTTTTATAGTTACCGATTGTCAACAATTATAAAAACGAGTCCCAAGGCTCGAATAAACGTGTCTCTTCTTCCCAAATTGTCCATTTTTTTTGCACAATTTTGGCGACAATTAGGGAGACATTACTATTACTCCCCTACCCTACTCTCTAGTAACTACTATTACTACCCTAGTAATAGTAATGTCTCCCTAATTGTCGCCCAAATTGTGCAAAAAAAAATTGATAATTAGTCCATTAGTTCAACAGTAGTTACTAGGGAGTAACTACCATTACAACTAGATTGCGAGGTCAATTGCGCCGATAGGATATGCGCGACTAGATGCAGTACGAAGTTTCATTAGCAGTAAACGGTTGTTCACCGGAAGTTGCGAACGCGACCAAGGTTCGAAGCTCGCCGTCAGTCGTTTCCGACGTGAATCGACTCGGTGCAAGGGCGCATATTTCGTCCGCTGCATAGCCGAGGATGCCATTCACCGCGACACCGCCATCGCCCGCGTGAAGGCTGCGGCCTCGCCGCGATCTACCGCGCCGGTGAAATACCGTATGACTTTTTGACGTGCTTTTAACAGATTGAATTGAAAATGGCTTCCCAGGCTCCGATATATCCACGGGGCCACATCCACACCACGGCCGGGAACGACCGTGCTACGAACGAACGGACGTGGGAGACGAGATATATAATCTTTTTCCTCCGTCCCCGTTTCGCTTCCGCAGTGTACCGCCGGGGCTTTCTCTCACGTTCACACCTCGCCGCAACTTTTTCTCTCCTCCGTTCCCCGTCCCCTTTTGCTCCGAGCCGGTCTCGCCCACCTTGTCCGTCCCCATTCCGCGAAACGGTCGCCGATTTTCCTCCGCGCCGCACCCCCGGCCTTCTCACCCCTCCTTGGATTTTTGCACATTCGCTGATGCGGCACATTGCAAGCTGCGCCGGCGGAAACGACGACCAGCTGAACCGGACCGGTCACTCGAGGCCACGGGTCGCCGACAGGGTGCGGAGGACGAAGGGCGGAGGGTCGACCGGGGGTGGAGGACCCCGTAAAAATAATGTCCCGGCTCATTTTTTAAAGCCTCCGGACCGCAGAGGGCAGATCGGGAGCCCCAGGGCTGCGAATGGGGAGCGGGAGAAAAAAAAACGTGACGGACGTAGAGATATAGGTGCACCGATATTACGGGGGCGAAATAGCACAGGCTGGACCCGACCGACGCCAGATGAAACGGTCAAAGCTAAAAAGCTCTCTAGCTCGCCCTCTCTTTCCCTCTCGCCGGCGAAACGGGTTATATATTATCTGCAACCCTTCAAACACAGAACACGCCGAGATCCATACATAACCCATATGCGTACACTTCTCTTCGTGCCGTTTCTCTGGCCCGGGGGAGACCCGGGGGAGACCCGGGTGCGTGCATTCAGGGTCCGAGCGTTTTCGAACGGTGGCCTAATCGTGTCTGTGCTAACGCCAAGGATGATCGGTGCGTGTGGCCGATGATACGTGGCCCTGACACGCTACTGTCTTCGCGATTCTCAGATTTGTTGGGCTCTCGTCGAGTTCGACGAGTGGCATGATCAGATTGCGGATTTTTATGCGTTTATGGTAAAAATAGGTGAGCGAAATTTGGAACAACGAAAAGATTCGAAGAAAACTAAGAATGTCAACGTAGTAATTTTTATTTATTAAAATTATTCGAGAAAGAAACGAAGTTGTGCTTGGCTCCTATGCCAAGATATAGACGATTTTCATTTCGCATAAATATCCGCAGTGTATCGACGATGGTCAGCGTTACTTTTAATTATCCTTCCCTATATTTGTAACGATTTTCGATTTACTCGCTTTGAAGTAAATCGTTGCCTCTACTTGTTTAGTTAAGGTAAACGATCAACATCGCGGGCACGTCGGATCAGTAACACTGTTTTCATGTATGAGTCGCGTGCGCGGCGAAGGGTGTGACCAATATCCCGACCAATAAGACCCTCGTCCGTTCCAGATCCAGTCCGGTCGACCCCATGTACCCCGACGCTTTGTCATTTAAATGGCCGTGATAATGTGGCAAGTCTGAAATAACTTTGATGAAGGGATTAAGAGGAATATTTAGCGGGGATTATAGCAGTAACTCTTTGTGCGGCCCTCAATTTAAAGCACCGTACCGGTCCGATTACTTTGATCACCCGGTCCTCATGGTTGCTTGTCCCGTGTCGTTGCTTCCAACTGGTTACCAGATCGCAGTAACACCCCAACGTATACAATTTTGCTACCATTCTTCCTAATATAGACCCGCCCTGTGACCAATTGCGAATCAGCCGAGGTCTTGTTTGGAATCAATTTTTTTGTTCACGTTTTAACACTTAGCGCTCCGAAGGCTCCGCTACAGAGACATTTGTCATTTGTTCCGTAACTCCAAAGGCTCCGCTGCGGAGCCAAATGTTCTTAGCATACGTTATCGTCGGCGTTAGCAATTGTTATCCGTAGTTAAAACGTGCTAAGTCTGTACCATTACGATTAAACCATTTTTTGATCTTTTCTATGGTTAGCAACATGAAGAAAAATAAATATTACGATGAGAATTTAGAGCCGAGTGATACCGAAGACGTATTTGATTTTGAAGAGTTAAAAGACATTGTGGAAGACAATGTTGGTTATGATTCTGACACTTCGAGTAGTAGTAGCGAAATTACACTACCAAAGAGACGAAGAATGAGAATTATTGAAAGTGAAAGCGAAGATTCGTTACAAGACTTGGTGTGATGTTACGGAAGAATTACATATTCCAGATAGAATAGCTTTTAGTGTATTGCCACAGGTCGTTGGGCCACAAGTTCCTACAAACATCGAACAGCAGTACAATATTTTAAATTATTTTTCACGGACGAATTGGTAAATGAAATTATAAAGGAAACCAACAATTACGCAGAAAATGTTCTAAACTCGAAAGAAATATCTAGTAACTCTATTTGGCAAAGTGAATAGTGTGACACTTGTCCAAGTAAACCCAGAATGCACATGGGAGATTGTTACCAAAGATATCGCACCATGGTGAATTACAATATTTAAAATTTATCTTTTATCTATAATAGGAAAATGTATATTTATAAAATCAATAAAATCAAATGCATTCGCAAGGACGTGTAATCTTTTCCGCTCAAAATAAGACTTCCTTTATCCCAGGCGCTCTGCTCAAACAATGTGCTGGAATTGCTTGTAGGCAGTACTCGAGAAACGCGCGGAGCACTAAGGGTTAAACAAATTATGCGAAGCGGGACTGTACGCGTGTCCTATACCCATGGTTCTCGTGTAAGACGTTAGATGAATTTCGAGGACAAAACGAGACAAAGGCAGCGTGCGAAGAAAAACTTGGCTCGCAGCGTTTCCACGAGTAAACACGAAAACCGAACTATGGCGTCACAAATAAAAGCGAAAACAGTGATGTAACCGAAGAGACCATGCGCCATTCGAACAACAGAATTCCCGGTGCCGGCTCTCTCGTCCCCGTGCTTGCCCGTTGACCGACAAAGAGGTCACACAGCGTTCACCCACGCAGATATTGCAGACGAACGTGTGTAGCCGTTTTGTACCTGCGCTCTTGTTGCTCTTCGACGTACAGCGGCCTACGGCCCTAATCTCCCTTATCCGATCAGAGCTGATTCGATCAGCCGTTTCCGTGGTGTTGCCGATCCCGCGTTCTGTTTGCAAACATTGTAACTCGATATAGACGCGATCTTGATCTCGATCTCCGCTACCCCAATGTAAATAGCCCGGAGGGAAGGTTTCGTGTATACACACGTTTGTTGCACGTTGTACCTGCCGCTTTCAGCGATCGAACGGATACTTCTCGAAAGGCGGAGATCAGGTGGTAAGAATCGTGGGAGAGTCCGCTTAAGATATTTGCCTCTTTCGATCTTGATCTTCGGAACGGTCATATTGTATCTTCTGCAGCTTTTCTGTTGCGTGTACAAACACTCGTGAGGAACCGTGTCTTTAGAGCTATGAGAAACTTCGTTGGATTTCGTTACGTCTATGAGAAACGCCTGCACGGTGTCTGTACGGAAAATTAATCTTTACAGTTAGCAATTCGACGGTTGTTTATAATTTCAATTGGGGCGGGTGTAGACGCGACAATTTTGCACGCATTGTAATTCGATCGACTGCATAAATAAGGCACCTGTGGTGGTGTCGCCTGATACTTTAAATGCAGGCGTGTATTGCCATAGCTATTGGTTTATTGATTTATCCATCGGCGCGCACATTCGCTTTTGAGTGGCCGATATGCCAGAGTAAAAAATGGTCCGTGTCGATGTACACCAGTATCGATGAATACCCGTTTCCACGCATATTTTCGATGTTGCTCGAATCGCCATTGCGTTCTACAAATAATGGACGAACGCGTCGTAACATGCGGTTTGGTGAAAACCGTAGCCGGAAGTTTTTATCTGATAATGGCGAAGCTGTTTTGAATTAGAGAAAAATGGAGATCGAACGTGGTATGTTATATTTTTCCTTCGACAGTTGTATTAAAAACTATTGATTTTGATTGTTCACGAACCAGGTAACATTATTTTAGCAACAGAAACGCGAAGCTTTCGCTTGACCTGCTTTCACGTTATATTTACTTTTCGTTCTGATTCAATCTCATTCTGTGTTTATTTCATTCTTATTTTACTATTTTATTTACGATAATGTATTTTCGTTGAAACGTGATCTCTCGGAGCAAAACGTCCATATTCGTATAAAGCATCCTGAACACGTCTGATTTCATTGGTGAAAAATGTCACAGGAGCCAAAACTCCGGCAGGCTGGCCGATGAAACGAGGCTTATTTAGTCGCGAACAATATTCAATGTCGATGTTCTCCGGTGTCAGGTAATAAAACGCAACGCGAACGAGCTGGAATATCGTAACCGAGTATATTTGAATGCAAATACTGTGACCACGGGATTGTCCCGATATAGTTACTTTCGTCCGCATGGCTACGTCAAAGGTAATAGCGCCATTGTACGTGGGTAGGGCATAGTATTGTGCGGCCCGCGTAGACAGGCAGTGGTAGGGTAAGCAATCGTAGGGAAACAGAAACAGAGAGAGAAAGAAAGAGAGAGAGAGAGAGAGAGAGAGAGAGGGAGAGAGCGTGAGAGAAAGAGAGAAAAAGAGAGAAGGGAAGGGGGAGGGAGAGATGTACAAGGATCGCGATCGCAGAACGCTTACTACATGGAACGCTTTTATTCCGCTCTCATTGCCGGGTAAATAACATCTGTACATTAGATCACTATAAAATCGGTCGCCATTGGTGAACGACAATAGGGCTTCCCCCTATTGAAACCTCATTGTAGAATATGATTCAAGAAAGGCTCGTCCGCTATAATATGACGTTGTGCGCTCGTGTGGTTTACGGGGCACCGAGAGGCAGCAAACCCTGGATGGATGGATGGACGTGAAATAAAAAAAGAAACGAAAGAACGAAAGAAAGAAAGAAAAACAGANAGCCAAAACTCCGGCAGGCTGGCCGATGAAACGAGGCTTATTTAGTCGCGAACAATATTCAATGTCGATGTTCTCCGGTGTCAGGTAATAAAACGCAACGCGAACGAGCTGGAATATCGTAACCGAGTATATTTGAATGCAAATACTGTGACCACGGGATTGTCCCGATATAGTTACTTTCGTCCGCATGGCTACGTCAAAGGTAATAGCGCCATTGTACGTGGGTAGGGCATAGTATTGTGCGGCCCGCGTAGACAGGCAGTGGTAGGGTAAGCAATCGTAGGGAAACAGAAACAGAGAGAGAAAGAAAGAGAGAGAGAGAGAGAGAGAGAGAGAGGGAGAGAGCGTGAGAGAAAGAGAGAAAAAGAGAGAAGGGAAGGGGGAGGGAGAGATGTACAAGGATCGCGATCGCAGAACGCTTACTACATGGAACGCTTTTATTCCGCTCTCATTGCCGGGTAAATAACATCTGTACATTAGATCACTATAAAATCGGTCGCCATTGGTGAACGACAATAGGGCTTCCCCCTATTGAAACCTCATTGTAGAATATGATTCAAGAAAGGCTCGTCCGCTATAATATGACGTTGTGCGCTCGTGTGGTTTACGGGGCACCGAGAGGCAGCAAACCCTGGATGGATGGATGGACGTGAAATAAAAAAAGAAACGAAAGAACGAAAGAAAGAAAGAAAAACAGAAGCGAGACGGAGGAGACGGTCGCGAGAGCGACCGCGACGGAGCAGGAGAGTGAGACGCTGAAAGGAGAAAATAAAAAAAAAAGATCGAAGGAAAGAAAGAATGAAATAAAGAAGGACGGGACATGTTCTTCTTCGAAGGGGACGAGGAAGGCGTGCATGGTTAAAAACAGTCCCGAGCGAAACAAAAGGCGGAGCGTAAAGAGAAACGACTGAGCATCGCTACGCATTGTTGGCCGCGGGTTCGGAACGGGTTTTGAAATAAAAGAGTAATGTGTTCGTCCGTTTTGCCTCTACCGCCAGGCACCGATATACAAACTACACACGGTCTGATACGCGCGCGACCCTCTTCACCCTCTCCCTCTCTTCATCGCGTTCTCTCTCTCTCTCTCTCTCTCTCTCTCTCTCACTCGTATATACGCACAGTTTATCGAGGGTGAGTTGGTAGGTGGGTACGTGGTCGGGAATATCCCCCTTTCTCCCCCGGTCAGATATAAACTCTTAACATCTTGGTGGAACAGCGGGCTCGGCCAATCGGACGGGCGCGCGGGCGTGGCCGCGCCTAAGCGCGGCGTCGCGTATGGCTGAAGCCCCGGGGAGGTACACTGTGGCACAGTGTTTTATTTCGCGCAACTGTGGAGGGGTCGTTAGTTTCTGCCCTATCCCTCCCCGCTGCATACCTTCCCACCCTATCCCCTGCTCCTACTCGGTCCTTTTCATCCGTCCGTCCCGCTCCCGCTTCACACTTTCCCCTCTGCCCATCTCTCGTTTCTTTTCTCATTCTTTCCCACTCTTCCCACTTTTCCGCCTTCTTTCACGTTTTTCCTCCACACTTTCCTCTCCGTTCTCTATCTCGCTTGCAGCTTCCTGGATGCTTTCCGCGACATTCCGCCTGCCCCTCTCCCTCGTCTCTCTCTCGGCGGTTTCAACCGTCCCACCTCCTTTCATCGTTCCGTCCCTCTCGCACCACACGCTTGTCCTCTCCCTCTCGTCTCTTTCCCTCTCTCTCTCACTCTCCGAGCGCCACTCGCTTCTTTTCCGATTCTTTCTCTCTCCGCTCTTGCTTTTCCACCTTCTTTCACGGTTTTCCTGCACACCTTCCTGCCTTTCGTTCCGTCTCGTTCTCGGTTTCCAGGATCCTTCGTGACATTCCGCCTCCCCCCCCTTTCCGGCGCGGCGGTTAGGATCGTCGGTCCCCTCCACGCCGCCGCGCCGACTCCCCCCACCTCCTCCGCCGCCGACCGCCTTCGGGCTCCCTCTTCGCTGCCGCGACACCACCACCGCTTCTCTGTCTCTCCGCGCTACCTGAATCGACTCACCCCGGGATGCTGCAATTGTTGACAATGCCGGAGAGCGAGAGAGAGTGCCGCTACAGGAGTCAGCCCGATCCCGCATTTCGTACCCCGACACCCGTACGAACGGTGGTGGTGCCGCCGCGACGCCGTCGCTCTTCTTCGTCGGCGTAGAAATTCGGACGTGTGGGCGCGTGCGCGTTCCTGCTGATAGTCACGGAAGCCTCCACCCCCTCCCCTTGCCGCGCGCTCGTCGCCGTCGCCACCTACCTCCAGTGTCTCGCTCGCTCCACGGGGCCGGTTCGAGAGTTTCCAGCGAACGGCGTTAAATGTGATTTCTTCGGTTGAAGTAAGAAGAACCCGTGTGGCCGCGCTCGCTACTGCCAGGCATCGTTTGCCCCCTCCCCCCTCCCCCTTGCGTCGCCGCCACTGCCGAGTAACGATCGCGTGTGTGGATGATCCTGTCGGTCACCGATTCTCGACATAGTATTACAGTCTGGGGCCCCCCTCTGGAACACTGGATCGAACGGAGAATTCGTGGACGACCGCCGCCGACGACGACGACGACGACGTGATCTCGAGGGATGTGCCGACGGTGATCAGAGACTGTCGGCAGTGATCGATTTCGTAAAGGATGAGAGCGATGCGTGTCAGTGGCCACTGGGCTCCGTGCTCGGCCGAAAGAAACTGTTCCCCGTGATCGTTGTCGCACGATTTATTTCGTTGTCCCGGTTCTGTGCCGACGTTCGCGATGACGATGTCCATCCGTGATCGTTGTTGACCGTTTCTTGTTCAGTGATTTCTGTTTGTTCTCGCACCGCCGGTTTCTTCCCGTTTCGTAGCCGCGCGTAACCGGTTCGATTCCGCAACACGATGTCGTTACCGCGGGGTGTCGGGCTTGGTGTCGACGTGGGCCAACTGATGCAGCACCAGCAGCAACAGCAGCAGCATCACGTGCTACCGGCCGCGTTCTTCCTTCGTGCCAGTGCCGAGAGATACCAAAGGACACCGAAGTGCGCGAGATGCCGTAACCACGGTGTCGTGTCCGCGTTGAAGGGCCACAAACGGTACTGCCGTTGGCGGGACTGCGTGTGTGCGAAATGTACCCTCATCGCCGAGCGTCAACGTGTCATGGCTGCCCAGGTAATGTAGCTTGTTGGTATAATACATCATAGTCGAGTAGTACGTGATCATTGGACGATGTATGTTCGCTCGCGCGTACAAGATATCCGGGAACGTAATGGTGTAGGTTATGATTAAGCTGTGACTGAACAGTAACGAAACTTTGGCTCTATGTCGTTAATGATTACGCACTTTCCTTATTGCGTGTTCACAGCAGTTATTACGTATGTCATGAATGAACTGCGTTTTTGTAAAATATAAGAGAGCTTGTAAATCGACAAGTATCTTCTAGTGAATGAAGAAAATTATTGTTTGATTCTCTGATTTTTCGCAATAAAGTTATAAAAGAACAAGTACTTACGTATAGTGACTTACCTTGATCCATACGTCTTCATTAACGGATTTCGATTGTTCATTTGTAAAGAGCACAGTAACCGTCGCTTCGTCTTCTTGTGGCTCGAAGTATCGTTTACTAGAATGTTTACGACAAGCGTGGAATCTTAGATACAAGAGAGAAATAAAGATAAATGAAGACGGCAAGAGGTATTTCGTAACTGTTGTTTATATAACCTTAATGTCATTTGAATTATCACGAAGGAAGATGCAATGGGAAGGTTATGTATCGACTTGTTGAAGTGTTCGATTGTGTAATACAGTTCGAGAATCGAATGGGTGTTCGGTCGAGTTGCAAGTAGTTTCCCGCTAAGTGTAGAACGTTTGTTAATTGCAATATTCACTGTAAGTATTGAAAGTTTATATTGAAAAGATATTTAAAGTAATTGTAATCATATTATATGATGCGTATGTAATATAGTGGATTAAATTCAATCAGTAAGAGCATTAGACCGATATAAATCGAAAAACGGTAAACAAGAGTGAGTGACATAACCTGATAGTTAAAGTAGTGATTGTAGTGGAAGTATTGCAGGTGTTACTTGATAAAATAAATAGATCAGTAATAAGAATTGTTATTTAATAAATTAATGTACATGATAACACATTTTATCTTGAAATAATTTCCAAAATTGAAAATGATTAAACTGAATATGTCAGATTGTCAGCTACTTTTTTTGTTAATATTATTTATTAGATAAATAAAAAATTACTTCATAAATATATTATTATGATAATATATTTAGTTACTTACGTACCAATAATTCCTTTCATTCGAATATCACAAATTAATGCATAAATGCATGAAATGGCGCACGAAATCAATTTCGTTCGTACTGAAGCCAGATAAGTACGTGAAAGTATACAGTTGTTTTTGACAACCAATTCGCACTTTATAATGTTTGAATTTTATCGTGTACCTTAAACTGGGCTGTTAATATTGGAACATATTAATATTTCACGGATACAATTATTGATATTGCAACTGTTATATCGCTAAAAACGGTTAATGAAAATGATTTATGAAATAGCAAATAATACTCAACTAGTAGGACGCTTGTAGAAAAATTCTGCGAACGTATTCGTTTGGGGCGTGAGTTGTTGGTGCCGTTTCTCACCCATGGCTTCGTGAAATGGTTCAAGGAAGTGTGAACTGATTCAATTAGAATCAGCGAGAGGGTCTCTTTGAATGTGCGACTTTCTTTCTCTCGGTCGTTCTTATGTTTCTCAATCTGACAAGAAAATAAGCCCTGTTTACATAGTAATCTACAGCAAAGAAATCCTTCGCCGTCGCTGGCTTTACAGCCTGCCATTTTTCTATCAACTTAAACGATAAATTTAAATTAAATACTAATTCAATTCATTGGTAATTTAACTTTCATAGGGCACGAATTCATTTTTCTACCTTTCTGAAGTATTGCTTCAACGTTTCGCATGAACATATGGTTCAAAATTAACGCACAATTATTCCGAATGAAAAGCGCTATGTATATTATTAATTAAAAATAAGTAAATAGAATCGAAAAATCGTGATTACGAGCCAGGTGGAAAATAAATCGTATTTATTAGAACCGGAGAGAGTATATCGGTTAAGAGTAAATAATTTTCATGCACGAGGAATAATTATCCAATCTGAAAATATGAAATAAGCCGTGAAAAAGGCAGCGGTAATCGAGCGTTAATTTTCCGTTGGCATTTTGACTTAACCGCGGATGAAATTACGAATCCCGTGGATCGGTTCCGCCGGATCGTAACACTATACCCACTCGAGTTTTTGATTTGCTGGTCCTTGTACCCTCTTATTGCATCATTTTGATATCATTGCCTACGTGAATTGCACCTGCTCCATATCCGCCGAGATATCTTCCTGTGATATACGCTCCGCGAGATTGATTTCTATTCAATCGGAAGTCGAATTTTATTCGCGGCAAACGTTCTTTTTATGTGTGTGCGGAAATTGAAGAGTAAAAAGGCTAATGAATAATCATTCTCTCTTTTGCTATCGGGAATGAATATGCCCGCCTGCGGTGAAACGATTTTAGAGCGCTATAAGCGATCAGAAATGTTTATACCAATTTAAATTGAAAATACAACTCCGTAAATATGTTGAATAGAACGATTTCCGTGGGTGTACACCTCCTTTTAGTTTAATCTATGATTAGCGCGTGCACTGTTCTCGTTGCACCATCATCTTGCTTTTATATTGATAAATTATAAGTAAATCGTTAACGCATACATTAAATCTAGAACGACGTGTAGATACGTATCTGTTTTCTTATTCTCTTTGTACAAATAAAATATCTTCGGTGTCAATTCTGACGACATAAATGACAATGTTCTAGATGGAATAATAAAATGTACCTTTAAAGCATGTACTGTTATGTACATTTAGAATTAAGGCGAGATTTGAACTCTGATGGAAGAGGCAAAATATAGACATTTTTATGTCGCTTTTGGAAGTCAATTTCTAATTTATTTCTACTTTTTCAAAAAATGCAATTAGTATGCAAAATCATGAGTTTCCATGAACATCTGGGTCTCGAATAAAAAATAGTTTTCTTGCGTCCTCGTGATGGCGACGGCCGTCGGCAGTAGTCTGTGGATATTAAAAGTTCAACTTTGAACACAATACCAGAGTAAATAATATTTTTTTGTATTCAATGCAATTACAAAACGTTTCCGTGGTTACCTGTTATTTAAATTTAAACATTTAAATGAACTGACGATCCGACGGTGGCCTGTGACTGGATCGGTACAAGGCCATCCCAATTCTTTTTCCCTTTTCCAATCGTTTCGCGAATATAATTCATTAGACAAATTTCCAATTACACACACATTTTTTCGCAATAATATGAACGCGCCATAAATACTTCCCAACTACTTGTTGATTGCCTTTTGACGCTGTGCAATGAAAATCGTACAAATGAAAGAAAAGGTTGATAGAAATTAAAGCCCTTTCATCCATTATATTGTTGAAAGAAATACCATGTAGATATTTTTAGCGGAACAATCTAATGTAACTAATTGCCAGTTAATTATCAGTTCTTCGAAGACTAACTAAACGTCCAACCTTCCGCACCATAAGCTGTGGCAATATTTGCTCGAGGATAAATTAATGTTTGCTGTAGTTACCGTGAACATCGTTTTAAATACAATGTTCCGAGAAAACTGCATTTGCAGTTGCAAACAAGTTTGTCTACTGCATTAACTTGTAACTTAACATAGTACACAAGGAGTTTCCCTCAATAGACAGCTTGCTTCTTGCAATGTGAAAAAATCCAATGGAGTTTTAGTAAGACAGAAAATTACGTGCTCTGCTCGTGGTAGCTTGTGACATAATATGGTGTACCAGGAGTTTCTTCGTTAGACCGCTTGCTTTTTGTAATATCCACGAATCCACGATGTTATAGTAAGACAAAATATATCGTACAGCTTGTAGTAACTTGTAACCCGACGTAGTATCAGGGATGTTTTCGTTAAACCGTTTGATTCTTGTAATATCCAAAAATCCACCAATCCCTTAGTAAGACAAAAAAATGTCCTGCAGCTTACAGTATTTTGTAACTGAACATAGTACCAGGAATATCCTGATTAGGCCATTTGCATCTTGCAACATTCGATAAAAGCCAAGAAGAAAATAAGATTTTACGATCTTTGATTTCCAATGAAATGATGGCAAATAAAATACCAAAAAAAGTCGACTGGCACACGACGCGTTAGAAAGCGAACTCCTCCTCCCTTAAAGAATTTTCAAAGTTCCAATTAGCTAACCAGAGGAACAATCCGCAGGTCGCGTTACGGAGGCAACAGGCCCAGGAGGAGAGCGAGGCGCGCGAGTTAGGCCTGCAATTGCAGTACAATGCAGGCAGCTGCACCACCGCCCCCGTTCTCCCTGGCGCGGCGACCGCAACCACGCCAGCTGGCAGTCCACCCCCGCACCCGGGCCATGTTGCCAGTCCGGCCGGATTGGCAATTCCAGCGGCGGCGGCAGCCGCAGCCGCGGCCGCGGCCGCTCACATTCAAACGCAACTCCATCAGCAACCCGATTGCGGCCTGCTGCAACGGAAGAGGCTGCCGCAGGACGAGTACCGGCAGCCCAAGATCGAGAAGCAGGAATCGATCGTCGGTGGAATTGGAGGTACGTCCATGATCCCTTAATTGATTAGTTAGCTGGTCGGTGTAAGATGCGCGTGAACGACGCCGCATCATTCTAAAAACCTACGACGCACAAAACCTAATGCAGCACAAAGTACAAAAGCCAACATCTGTTTTTATCATTGCATATGTGCATTTCTGTAGAACTAATTATTCCGATTTACACTCTTTTGCTTACTCGTCGAGGTCATAATCGTTGGAGGTTGTAGGATATACCGTGAAAGAATCGGCGAAGGATGTTGACAAAATTGATATGAGATAATCTGTGGAAATGATGCTGTAGGATATAAGGCAGTTATGAAATAGTTTCTGTAAGGGATGTTCGATAAACTGTAACAAAGTCAGATATTGGATACTAATATCACGGGCCTTGAAATCTTTATACACGACGTTTCGATCATCGTACTTGTTAAAAATGAATAATTCATAATAGTACGTCATCCATACCGAGGACTTAGTTCATTTGTGATAATCTAGTACGATTTGAATTTACATTTTTCCTCTATAAGAATTTAATGTGGCAATTTAAAAGAAGTCGTCTAAAAAGCCGCGAACTATCTATTTTATCAAAGATCGGTATCCTACCTTACTATCTAGTAGGAAATGTTTGTAAACTTGCAACCAACGCGTACGTCTTTAACCCTTAGGACTCCGATGATTTTTTTCGGCATAAACAGCTACCAGCAACTCGGGGCAAATTTTGCTAAAATTGTGATTCTAGTATGGAAAGTTGAATTGAAATCAAAATCATTATACCACTGTGAAATTCTATAGGAATTAATAAATGAAAGATTTTCTCTCTTTATTTGCGTATTTTACGTGATTAACTTAAAAGAAATAATTTAGTGTCGCCGTGTCGGCGACGTCGGAGTGCAAAGGGCTAACCAATGCGTGGCTCACTCGATTGCTCTCTACGACTGAAAATATTGACGTAGATCAAGATGACAATATCAGATATCCAAACCGTCTCTTTTATCACCGAGTGATGGTGCACACTTGTCCAGCGATCCCTCCTCTCCAGCAGCCCTTATCGAGCAGGCGAGCGCCATAAGTATCTGATTCTGATCTGAAAGCATCGGGACCCCTGCGCACGATCAGTATCGAACGAACACGGGTCCGGGGATAAGAATGGGCCTCGATATATTTCTTCGGTCGAAAGTACCATCGTGACGGTCTTGACCGAACAGGTGGGTCCACGGGGCCACCGCGCCGCTCTGGCACCGTTAAGAAGCACAAGTCCACTCTTCATGGTAGAGAAACGGCACGCGCGTGCACTTCACGGGAGGGTGAGAATGAGCCAGGAAGGAGAAGAAGCCCGGAAAGGAGCGAAGGGTTGAACACGGAGAGAATTAAAAGCCGCCACTAACGAGTGCACGACTTCTGGTTCGAGTGGTATAATAAGGGGCCACGAGTTTGGCCATTATTTACTTAACATTATGGTCTCTGGCCACTTGCCCTATTTAGCCGTGTATGTTCACGCACGCTCCTAATGGCCACTCGTACGCAGCTCATGCGTGCTAAGCGCGTGTGCGTCCTTCTCTCTCTCTCGTTCTGTCTCGTCTCTCTTGGACGCGTGCCATATTTTCATTGCTCGTTTTGCAGCTTCACGGAATATTGGAAAAATGATGGTCGCTGGGAGCCTGTGCGAAACGAATACTCGCCGGGAACAGTTCTAGTTCCGCTCCGAGGTGCTCTCTGCTTTCTTTCTCGTATCGCCCGTGATCGGTTCTATCTCGTCTAGTCGAAGCTTCGAAAGTCCACGCTTGATCGTAAGTACAACGGTGTTCACTTAGCTATAACGGTTTTCCCATGATTAGCTGAAGCTCCGTATCCCCGCTAGCTCTTGAAACTGGCTTCACGTTACGGTAGCTCGTTCGAGCTTTCGTGTTACAAGGCAAATAGGTCAGATCCAGACCACTTGTCGATGACGAGGCAGACTGCTGCAAAGTACACGGGACATTACGGTAAGGCGTTACTGTTTCAAAGAATATCTTTTACTTCGCGATGATATAATTGTTTGAAACAAATTTGGTAGCACACGCCTCTTCAAATAGCTGCAACACTAAAGTCCCGACTCGATATTCCAGCTATCCGAGCATCACTGTACCTTCCCCGAGAAGTCCGCTATCGGTAGTTTGCTCGCAGCGCAGCGAAAGTTAAACAATGCACAATACTTCCTAACATTTCCCGATATCCCGAGCTTTGCATTCGACAGAAATTCTTTTCACCGCTTTTTCCGTTGGCTTGATCTCGAGGCGAGGGAACAAGAAAGAAAGATAGGGGGAGAGAGAGCGAGGAACGTAGAGAGATAGAGAGGTAGTCTTTCGTCAGGGGATGGAAACTTCGATTTCACTCGGTTTCAATTACACCTAGGCTCCTCTTGTTCCCGTTGCCCGGTGTCTCTGCCGCCTCCACACCCGCGATCCCCTCGCCGTCGAGACCTCCCGGCGGCCTCCCCATCTGAAAAGTCGAGGGTCGCAAGTGCACAAGATGTCTCTCCGTTCGATCTTCGAAACAGAGTGCTTACAGTAGTGTACAGAGAGGCGGGCGCGTCTTCAGTCGAGAAGTTTAGCCGTAATTGAATTTCTCGGGCCAGTGCCTACCACCGCACCGCGGGGGATTCACGACCGGTTTGTTGGTTGCTCGGTCTCTGTATTCTTGCTGGCTCCGGAGAAGATCCGGAGCCCGCCGACAGGAGAGGGTTGATGCACTCTCGCTCTCTTCCTCGCGGCACTGGATCTACCGAGATCCCGGCGATACCCTGCATTGTGCGTCTCCTGGATGTGATCCTGTTGTATTACACGCGCACCCGCGCGCTCCACCCCTTCCGAACTTGCTGCCCTTATAGATTGTCCAAGTTTCCTCCCGGCTTAAAAAGGATTAATACGCTGCCCGTATCTAGGGTTCAATGTTGAAACCGTTTCTGGTAACTTACGATTTCGACCGGATGCACGGTGGTCAGGGAAGTCGATCATTTTCGGTCGAATGGCAATTTTTGATGTTTCGAGATACAATAAATTTGTGTCGCTCGATATGATGTAAACAGAAATGAACGATTTGAGAAGAGGAGACCGATTATTCGAGCCTCGCGACTCGTTTTTATAGTTGTTGACAATCGGCGACTATAAAAACGAGCCGCGAGACTCGAATAATCGTGTCTCTTATTTCCAAATTGTCCATTTCTGTTTACACGTTGAGCGACGATTGGTGAGAATTTACTGTATTTGTTTTTCCTTGAAACTGAGACAAGCCTTTGAAACGTTGAAATCCAAAGCTTGTTAGACAAACACACTTAGTGTAACGAAGACAAACTCATCAAATTCAAAGTAAAACTAATTATTTTCATTATTTGATATTAAACCTAAAAATGCAAGTTTAGGCTGTACTTTCATTTTTGTCAGCAGTTATAGTTTAGTTATTTCATTATGGTGTAAGTATCTTATGATGTACATACAAACGGTTCAAGATTTACAAGATCCAAAATTTTGACAAAACTTATACCAAAATGATTAAAAGTGATAGGGTAAGTCTGGAAGAAACCGGCCAGTGTAAATATCTCGAAACGACGACGCCGTATGGCGTTGTGCGAAATGTCGGAAAACACTTCAATAAATTGATTGTTGATCACGTATCGCAATCGACGTGCAACTGTATCCTAATCGCGCAAATTGCGTTTAAAGCTTTAGACGGATCTGAAAGTGTTTTCACTAATATTCTTGCTCCAAATATGAGAATTTTTGTGATTTGAAGCTGAAGAAAAAATAACATAATAATTATTTTCTCTAGTATATAACACCTGTACTTTGGAATTAATTCCTCTATCGAGATTATATCTTACTTCATCACAGATTGACATAGAGAAATATTTACAGATAGTACAGTAAAACTCCATTAATGTAAACTGGGCGGGAGACATACGATGGCGAAGTTAGGAAACCGAAGACGTTAGTTTAACATTCAATGGAAATGGTCGAGTTTTATCGGTCCGCGGGGATGGGTCCAGGGCCAATTTGGATGGCACGCATGTCAGTCTCGCGTATCAAAGGGGCAGATACGTGCACCGCAGTCATTACGTCGAAAAGGAGGACGCGGAGATTTGGTCTTTCCAGCGGATTCCTCCGTGAAGTAGGCAGGATACGCTTTGTAGAGCAGCCCCCCTCTGCTACACACGCGAGCGGAAGAACGTCCCTTTGTGTGTACGTGTGCGGTACACCCTTTATCCTGAAGGATCGCTCGGTCTCCTTCGTCTACGGGGACCATTATCCGGCAGTTTCTCACAGTAGAAGCTTCTTCGAGTGTCCAAGAAACTTTGTGAAAGACCAGTTCGCTTCCGTTCTTCCTCTTTCGTGGCTGCGGAGGACACCAGGAAATTATTTCACTCGACTGTGTACGCTTACCCTCGTACTGTACTCTCTCTCTCTCTCTCTCTCTTTGCTCCCTTACATTTTGGGTGATGATATCGTGGCGTTTAGGAGCCTTTACATACGATACGTGTTCCATCCGGAAAAGGTCTCAACGTTTCTTTAACTACAGCCCGTGCCATCGCATCAAGGCCAACCAAAATGTTCAACTTTTTCGACGCTTTTAACCAGTTAACTGTGGCGATCTCTTTGCAAAGCGCCCACCACAGTGTGCCGCGATAATCAAGCGATGACGGGCGATGAATCAAACGATCAAGCGATGAATCCAACTCAAATTATTTATAATTTTCATTTGTTTGTTTCATTTCGTCTTGACCTCCAACATTTTAAACATATTAAAATTTACGAATATAACTTAGTTTTCACCAGAATTACAATTTAAATATCAAATTGTAACAAAATTTTACGAATGACGGATATAATCGTCATGACACAAAATTCTGCCACATCTCCATGACAGATATAGTCGTCAAACACACTTAACTGGTTAAAGAAATTACAAGGCATAAGTGCACTTTAATAAAATGTTTCATTAAATACCAATGTTATATATAGGCTGTCC